GTCTTCCAACATGACAATGATCCAAAACACACCGCCCGGGCAACAAAGGAGTGGCTCCGTAAGAAGCATTTGAAAGTCCTGGAGTGGCCTAGCCAGTCTCCAGACCTCAACCCCATAGAAAATCTGTGACGGGACTTGAAAGTCCGTGTTGCTCGGCGACAGCCCCAAAACATCACTGCTCTCGAGAAGATCTGCATGGAGGAATGGGCCAAAATACCAGCTACTGTGTGTGCAAACCTGGTAAAGACCTATAGTAAACGTTTGACCTCTGTTATTGCCAACAAAGGTTATGTTACAAAGTATTGAGTTGTATTTTTGTTATTGACCAAATACTTATTTTCCACCCTGATTTACGAATAAATTCTTTACAAATCCTACCATGTGGATTCATGGATTTTTTTTCACATTCTGTCTCTCACAGTTGAAGTGTACCTCTGGTGCAAATTACTGACCTCTGTCATCATTTTAGGTGGGGGAACTTGCACAATCGGTGGCTGACTAAATACTTTTTTGCCCCACTGTATAATAACTCAGGGATATTCCAAATGAACGAAAACATTCAGGAAAGGCCTGTGATATAACGTCTTGCACTTACTTTTTTGAAGAACTATGAGGTGAGATAAGCCACAGATAACTAAAATGCGAGACTCATTACCTGCAAATGATACAAAATCAACAGCTTTATTGTAATGTCATAGATTAGCTTGAGCTTTGCATGTTATTTTCCCTAATAGGTGATTGAGATGCACCTGAACTAATGCTTAATGTTCTTAAATGTAGTCCCTGCGGTAATCTAATTTTCTATATCACTTTAATATCTGGAGGTTGTAAGCTTCAGTGTATTTTTTCCTGTCAGGAAGAATACTTCGCAGTAAACAAATGTCACTCTCACCAACAAGAGCCCAGTCCTCTCAAACTGTGGGAGGACCCTTAAACGCGTGAAGGGTTTTCCTAACACTGACATAAATAATCTATTTCAACACAACAAGTGCTGTAGTAAACTACCTTACACTCCTCAGTAAAGAGCCCTGCAAAACCACTGGATGACACTTTAGGATTGTCAGAGTAGTTTCCTACTTCTGATGCTACATCCACGTCACGTGGTAAAGATTGTTGCTACGAGCTCTCGACTTACAACAGTCACTCAGAGATGAATACCAGCGGAACAGGTGCTGTTTTATTTAATGAGTCACTTTAAATAATCGCAGGTAGTTTTTAACTTTCATCTTTGTGCATCACTTTTGCAAATTTAGCCAGGTTTTGTGGTAAGTCACTGGAGAAATAGACTAGGCGCTTAGTTCCTACTTTACGTGCAAGCTTCAATTGATGGGCAGTTTAAGGTCTGATTTAGATTTCTGCGGGGAAACTTTGTTGAACCTTTGTTTGACCCTATGACATAACCTATACAAGCGGTTGAAATTGTTGTCAGCATGTATGCTTGTGCTAATTGCTATTATTATTATATTGCGTATTAATAACTGTGTGGTCGTGGTAAAGCGTTGGGGGAGTTGAATTAGTTTGTTGAGAATAGAATTTGCTAAAGTGTCATTTAAATGGTTTACCATAAAGTGCATGATCACATTTGTATCACTCGCTTATTGGATGTGTGAAAAGCTCATCAGGAGGAAAAAAAACACTCAAAAAGTCTTCAATGGTGGCTTCTCCGCAGCTTCAAAGAAGTTTGAATGTGCGAATACTTCCAAGCCACCACTCTTAACTGCCAAGTTGTGCCTCTGGTTATCCCTGTGAGATTTGAATGCAGCCCGAGATCAGTTTCAGTATATGGAGCGTGTGGAGAATCCATTTGAGCTGTCCGGGGAAGCCGGTTGTTCATCAGTGAGCAAGCCAGGGGTGAAACTGGCTTTATGGGAGACCTTCGGGGGAACAGGGTGGATGGATTTCAAAGAAGTGGATAAAGCAGCACACACATGTGTGAAACAGAATCGTATTTTACACATCGCTGCAAACAGAGCTTAATTTGTCTTCCTTACCCATAATCCCTTTGGTTAATTCACCATTCCATTTGATCCCAGTGGTCCTACATGTCACCTCAAGCTACATCAGGTTGCGAGTGAAGAAGAGTTTGTGTGAAAATTAAGTTCAGTGCTGGTGAAATGCTCACTTTTATATGTGTGTGACATATAACCTTATCCCTCCTGTGTAGCGGATGGCTTTACGGTTTGCATATCGCATACAAAGCGTGACAGAACAACGTCCTCTTCATCTATCCTGCCTCGTCTCCTCTCTCTAAATGAAATTCGTCCCTCTCCCCCTTTTTCTTTCACACCTCAGCACTCATTTTAATTAGCTGGCTCTCTGATCGCTCTTTTTTTCCTCCTCACTCTCTCTGATAATTCTCCCCGTTTCCTTTCCATTTCTCTGTCTCACTCGTTCATTCTCATTACAGTCATTTCTCAGAGTAATTAATGAGGTGATATCTGCTTTCGTGTCAGAAAGGTCAAGAGCTGTCTCTCGCTCGCTCTCTTGCTCTTTCTGTAGCACCAGAGCATATGAGTCATCCGGTGATCTATTTAGCTGCTGCTCCATCTTTCTGGTCTTCTTTCGCTGCACTCAAACAGAGAGGAAAAGAAAAACAGGACTTGTACGACCTCTGACATCGTAGCAAATTTCATGTCAGTGATTTCACACAGATGTAAGAAGTACAGAGAGAGGACCTCACAACTAGACTACAGATTGGTGAATGGTTTTGTAATCAGTCCTGGGTAGTGTGTTAATATTACACGACTCTATATAATTTATTAAACTCTGGTCTTAACATACAGGTGCCATTTACAGTAGTTTGAAAATCTAAAAGTAGCAAATAGTAGGATACAAAAAATACTTTTGATCTCCAGGTAGGTTATGTAGTGGCCAGTGCTCCAAAGCCCAGGAGCCTGACACTCACCCCAACATTAAATGGCCATGGAAGGATTACTGAACTGAACATGGACACAGACCCAGGCATGCAAAGGGTCAAGAAGACCTGGCTCAGATTTGTCTTTTCCAGTCAAAAGACAAGAGAGGAAGGGATGCAGAACAACCTAAGTAACACACATAAGAAAAACAAAGGAAAAAGCAATAAAATATCCTCAAAGTGATGTGATAAGATAAGATAAGAGCTGCAAAACAACCATGAAGAGGCTAAGTATGACAACAAAATGATAACAATGGAATAAAAAACAGTGATACACAAAAACAAAGCCACCACAGAGAGACTGGAAGTGGTAGGATCTTGTAATTCTTCTCCAGGAAAAATACATCTGACAAAAACAAAATGTGGTTCCAGTTTGGAATAAACAAGAGAACTATGAGGTTAGCATGAGCAGTGTTGGTTGTACTAACAGTCTATGTCTGGGAAGTGCAGTGCAGGAACACCACAGTGATGAATTCACACCACAGATGGAGGCAAAATTGAACAAAAAAGCATTTTGATTTTAACACCTTCACTGTGTGCTTGTTAGTGATGGGAATGACATCCAAGGACTGATGTGTTGCTTTCTACAAGACATTCGGTTGCGCGGCTCCTTTATTACACAGGGACTCGGGTAATGGTATGAACACCAGCTACGCAAGTTGGTTAGATGAACCGGCCGTACCATGTGCTTTCTTTGCAAATACTCTGGCTTAAAATTCATTTTTTTGTTGAAATGGCTCCAAATGCTGCTGCTGTTTCATTCTGCACTCATGTCCTTTCCACTAACTGGCTGCTTCTCTGCAAAGACACTGATTGGAACAAATCAGTCTTCAAAGTAATGACATATTATGGGCAATTCTCTCAAAGCAGACCAAACTAAGACGTTATTGTTGAGGTTGAGGTTTATGTTTTTACCCTTCTTGGATTCTCAGAGTGTAAAAATCTGTTTTGTGGGATATTTTTCCCTTTTTGGTTTGGATTTGATTTATAAAGCAGTAGCAGGCCATGAATAAAACAGTTTACCTATACATATGCCATGGTGTGTTATTTATAATAGGTTTTCTTATGAGAGAGTGAGCATTCCCAGTTGTAACTTTAAAACATCTTAACAAACCTATTATGGAACACACAGCATACAAGTTGTTTCTATTGTTTTGCTGCATTTGTGTTCAAATAAAAAGTGTGAGAAAAGTTCACAGAGACAAATCCTCAACTTCTGTTTCACCCTCATTATGTCTGTGTTGTGTTCTTCTGTGAATGCGTAGATGTTTGCGTGTGCATGCTTGTTTGTACTGTGATCTGTTTAATGGTGATTCTCCCATGTCCTTCAAACCTGAAATCAAGGATGCCATTAATGAGGATTTTCTCTCTCTCCCTGACCACCCTGCACTCTCGCACTAACACTCTAATTAACTACAAGCACTGCGGCTTGTTAATGATGACTGAGTATGTGTGCCTTTTCACTCATGTTCATGCACAATAACACTGCTGAGCAATAAATGAGACTAATAAAACCCTCTTCTTGTTTGGTGGTCATAGTCATGTTTGGTTATAAAGTTGTTGTTTTTTTCTGATCACCATGACTGATCACTTTATTCTTTAACATGCACAAAAAATCCACCACAGATGATTTTTAGAGGCCCAGCCACCTGTCTCCGTACTGCACTCATCATCATATCTACACTTGACTTTTAATATACATCTTTGCATTCAGTTATTTGAGTTGATATCAAAGGATGTGCAGTTGGTGATAGATAATGTATTATTACAGAGAAGCTTGAGGAAGTACATCCTTCTCCTTTTAAAAAGACTTTTGAATGGGGAAGCATGTTTTATCTCAGTTTCTTTGTCACGTTCCATTTGTTTTTAACATTTTACTTTTGCCATAAGTTTTTCCTTCTTTCCTACTAAATATCAAACAGATCCAAATGGCCTCCAGGTGGCAGTAACAAGTGTATGTGACTGCAAACCAGGAGTTTGGGGCCAATTTATGGGACCAGTTCACTTAGTTATATGCATCTCATTTCAAATGTCATTAACATCTCTTTTTCTCTCTCTTGGTCTGTCTTGTTTCCATTTATTTTAGGTGTTGTTTCCAGGTACGGGGGGTAACCATGGAAAGGCTGGTACTGTGTGTAATGCTGGCCGTCGCTATGGCTGTGCGGGCACAGATATGCCCAAAACGCTGCGTATGTCAAATACTGTCACCCAACCTGGCAACCCTCTGTGCCAAGAAAGGTCTACTATTTGTCCCACCTAACATTGACAGACATACAGTGGAGCTACGACTGGCTGACAATTTTGTCACAAGGTGATCGTCACATCAATAATAACGATACTCATGAGACTAAACCATTTACATTAAAACCCTTCGATAGCTGTTGTTGAAACTCTATTGGTAGAACGTCTGCATTACTGCAGTACATGATGTTATATGAGTTGCCACTCTCGCTAGACTGTATTTTATAAGTGTAATGTGGGTCACTAGTATGGCAGTTACCTCATTTTAACGATATTTTATTTTTGTCTCATCTTTGCCCAAAGTGTGAAAAGAAAAGATTTTGCAAACATGACACGTTTGGTGGACCTGACATTATCCAGAAACACCATCTCCTACATCACACCTCATGCCTTTGCTGATCTGGAAAACCTCAGAGCCCTGCACCTCAACAGGTATGAACTAAAAATAATGTCTTACAATATGAAATCTTATTTATACGTTTTCTCTGAAGTTTTATTTCTCTTCAATTTCCCACAGCAACCGACTGACGAGGATAGGCAATGATACATTCAGTGGGATGTCCAAGCTTCATCACCTGATTCTGAACAACAACCAACTGGTCATGATTCACCAGGGAGCATTCAATGACCTGCTGGCACTAGAAGAATTGGATCTTAGTTACAATAACCTCGACACTATTCCATGGGAGGCCATCCAGGTTAGAACCTCTTTAACATGCAACACTACTTTGAAGCTTGTTTGGCTGGAGGGCATTGGAAAAAAAAAGCATCCCGAGGCAAAGTCCTTAAAAAATGTGGGTGCATTTATTTTAGACTTAAATGAGCTTTGGGACTAAGCAGAGGTCATTATGTTGACAGTTCAATAACTGTATATGCAGTTTCACTGATAGCCAAGATGTGTTAGATCTGGGGTCGGCAACCTGTGGCTCCGGAGTCACATGCGGCTCTTTAGTCCTTATAGTGCGGCTCCGCGTGGTTTGGGAAAATAAAATAGAAGTATTTAGCTGAAGCATATTTTATTTATGTTAGTTATTTTTTAACTTGTAGTTCTAAATTGGAAGATTATTGTGATATTGAAATATAAAAATAAAATTATATTCTATTATTTTTTCATCGCTCAAAATAAGCGTCACACTCGCGGAAGCCGGTATACCCGCCGATACACCGTGCATTTATTGAGACTTTCAACCCCAGGTAGGCCAATTATGGATCTTCGGATCCACATTATGTCAGCAGCTGTTCTCCACCGTGAACAATGTTAAAGACAAACACCGCTCACCCCTCACAGATGACAGCTTACAGTCCTGCGTAAAGATGAAAGTGACTTCATACAGCCCCGATTTGCAGACGCTGTGCGCAGAGGTTCAGGACCAGAAATTCCATTGTAAACACATCACAGCAGACCCGACGATGTTTGCATGAACATGCTTTTCAGCATCTCTTTATTGACCACTTTTCACACACGGTTGCTGTACGCATACAGCCGGCTGTAGCTTTGCAGCTCACAGCCTGACACACACCAACACAACAGCATAGATAGCACAGACGTAAAGGCGGCAAGGCGTGATTGCGTTCGCCTCCCCTGCAGCGGCGCTGCAGACCACGTCCCGCCACACACCAGGTAAAATACATACTAGGCAGAATTTTGCAAATATCTATTTTTCATTTTTTAGCAGCATAGTGCTTTTTTTCAAATTATTTTTTAAAAGTCAGGTCAAGGCTCCAAAAGCCCAAAGGCGATATAAGGGCGGCGGCTCACAACAGTTTTTGTTTGCTGCATGGATCATTTTAGTTCAGCTGGGTGTCTTTCCTTTTGTTTTATTTCTTTAAGAGTTCAAAATGTGTTAATTACATAAATAAAATGTAACTTTCTCTGTAGCACTTCATGGATTTCATAAGCAACGCATACATGAAGGTAAAAAACAATATATACAGTGTTATCTTCATTTTTCAATTCAATTCAATTCAATAAAACTTTATTGATCCTGAAGGTTGACCCCGAAGGATATTGGGTGCATTGGGTACATTTTAGATGTCAAAAAGTATTTGCGGCTCCCAGTGTTTTCTTTTGCGTGGAAATCGGGTCCAAATGACTCTTTGGGTGTTAAAGGTTGCTGACCCCTGTGTTAGTAGGTAATGTCAGTACTGTAATGCTTGGTAACTAAGTATAGTCAACTTTAAAACTTTAAAAGAGGTTTTTTTCACCACACATTTTGTTTCCTTGCTCTGTTCCCCTTATCATTATCGAATGTGTGAAAAATTAACCACATTGAAAGAAACAATAATAAATGTCTCTTTTATTCTGTTATTTATCCAGCGAATGACAAGCCTCCACACGCTGAGTTTAGACCACAACATGTTGGAATACATTCCAGAGGGAACCTTTTCCCTTTTACAGAAACTAAACCGGCTGGATGTCACCTCTAATAAACTCCAAAAGCTACCACCTGACCCACTTTTTCAACGAGCACAGGTATTCTTAGAATTTTCTTTCCCACCACATTCAATCAAAAACATTAAACACAGCCTACCACACAATACCACCGTATTTAGGCAATTAAGTCCTTGGGGAATTCACGCAAAATAAAATAAAAACAGGTTGTGAATCAGCAGGCTAAAGCTGTTTATCTATTTTTCAGTGCAATTATTAAATCAATTTATTTTACTGTAATGTAAAAAAGCTGCAAATCAAATGCAATCAAAGTAGGTGTGACCACCTCTAAAAACTGTTAGTATGTGCATTTTGCTGGGCTCGAGCACACTGAATATCTCAGCAAAAGATCAGACCATGCAATGCTCAGACAAACTGCAAAAATCCAGCAGCTGCATCTCAGACTCTGCAGCCCTTATTTAGCATGTTAAATGTTAAAATTGCAGTAGTACAAATACAAGGAAAGTGAAAAGTATGGTTTGTTTGGAAGATTTGAAAGAAGGAAACCTTTCTTATCTAAAAAGAAGAGTCCAGAGTAGAAGTATTGATGGCCATAAAGCACAGTGCCACATTTGGTGATCACCAGTCACAGCCTATCTGCACAGACACCCCATACCAACTGTCATGCATAGAATCGAGAGCCCATTATTTGGACTTGTTTTGCAGCCTCAGGTCCTGGGCACCTTGCAATCATTGAGTTGACCATGCTCCTTTGTATACCAAAGTATTCTAGAGTCAAATGTAAGGACAAGTCTCCAGCTCTCTTAATTCTCATTATTAAGTAGTTTATGTTTATGATGGAGCAAGGAACCACACATTCAACTGACCAAACTCGACCGAACGTAGTGGAATTGTCTATAAAAATGTTGCTGTTCTAATTTTCACATTTTTTTAATGCACTCCCAGGTTCTAGCAACGTCAGGGATGCACCTCTCTTCTTTTGCACTGTCATTCGGTGGCAACCCTCTCCACTGCAACTGTGAGTTACTTTGGCTGCGAAGGCTGAGCAGGGAGGATGACCTGGAGACGTGTGCCACACCCCAGCACCTGTCTGGCCGATACTTTTGGTCCATCCCTGAAGAGGAGTTTCTCTGCGAGCCTCCACTCATCACCAGATACTCTCACGAGATGAGGGTCCTTGAAGGCCAGAGAGTTGCTCTCAGGTATCAGTTCTTGCTAGAATTGCATCTAAACATAATATGGTGGTTATGAAATCAATAATAATCAGGGAGTAAAGTTTTTATTATGTGGTGCAGTTTTGCCATCATCCTGTAACCACCTGACTTGCACAAACATGCAAGAATATGAAAAGCCTCACTGCTTACTGACACATAAAACATCAGCGACAGACACAAATATTACCAAAGACTTTACAGGACAAAACTAAATCAAGACAACAACAGCTTTTCTATTCAGTTTGATTCAGTTATATTTATATAATATAGCGCCAAATCACAACAACAGTCGCTTCAAGGCGCTTTATATTGTACAGTAGATCGTACAATAATAGATTCAGAGAAAACCCAGCAATCATATGGGAAGGAAATACTCTCTACTAACAATCTTGTGCAATACAAATTTATTTCATGAAATTGAAAAAGTGGAGAAAGTGTATGGTTAGGTAATTAGGTGTTGACAACACATTTTTATACCCAGCACTTACTTTATCATAGTAATATTGTTACTCAAAAGAGTGACCATTATTTGTTGCTTTTAAAAAATGGGGGAATTATTTTACACACTTTTCACCACTCAAGTTTTCCTCTGCAACATCTGAGGTGCGCTGTCACATAATTACCAATTAACTTTAAAAAACCTTTGGTAGAAAATGTCAACAAATGAACACAAATCTTTAGTAATTAAATTTGAAGAAATGCACACACAGTGCAATTTGCATATCTTTACCCTTTAAAAAGTCTGGGGTTAGGGTTGAAACAGCTTAAATGTATGTGTTTGTGTCACTTTCATTTCTCGCTTTTTCACTTCAAATGAACTTCACATCCCAGGAGCCCTTTTTAGTTCATTTCTAACATTAACAACCATGTGTGGAGAATGTGTAGTGTGACTCCAGCTAAAAATGTGATTTTTGTTAGCTCTTATTCTATAACTTTTGAAGCACTTCACAGTAATTGTAATTATCTGCAGAAAAGGGGAAAGCTAAATTACCCTGACAAACATGCTCCTCACTTTGATTGTTTCTAATTTGAATCCTTCAAATTGAGTCTGCTTTGTTGCGAAACCATTTTTTGTTTGATGAAATAGAATATTATGAACATTGTTTTTTTCTGACTCTTCTTTTTTGGTTTATAGCATGTGAGACATGAATTAAGCTATAAAATTTGACTGGTTGATACCATTTCTGGCTGTTTATTTGGATCTCTGTCTCAAAAGAGCTATGAACTATGACACAAAAAAAATTAATAACTACTTTTTTAGTATCTTAACTTACTAATTTTACACCAAGACAAGGAATTTTTAAATGTCAGCATTGAGTTATAATAATTTTATTGACCCAGAAACCTTTTAATATAGAAGTAATACTACTACAACCTAATACTACTCCATTATTAGCTAACCAACTGTAGTACAAAGGCTATCATTTGTACTCTAATTCAAATGTGCTCTGTCAACATAGTAGATAAGTTTCAGCCTCTTACTTTTCACCCAAGTCTCAGAGGAAAAGTAGCAGGATTCCAGAAACCATTAAGCATTAAGATTTGCTTCTACTGTACTGTTGTCCCTGTGCTGTCTTGTTTCAAGTTTCAATTCACTGGTTTTCTGTCTTTTAAGGTGTAAGGCAAGAGGTGACCCAGAGCCAGCCATTCACTGGATCTCTCCTGAGGGTAAACTGGTCTCTAATTCCTCCAGAACACTTGTCTACGCTAACGGGACTCTGGACATTGTCATCAGTAAGGTGCAAGACACTGGCTCGTTCACCTGTATCTCCTCCAACCCCGCCGGCGAGGCTCACCAAACAGTGGATTTGGTTATTATCAAACTCCCGCACATTTCCAACAACACAAACAACATCCAGGAGTCTGACACGCGATCGTCGGACATTTCCACGTCAACCCGAGGCGGCGCCAACGGGAGCAACGTGACTGGTGATGTGAAGAGTGGTGTGGATAAGAGGGTGGTGACAGCTGAGGCCACGTCATCAACTGCACTGATCAAGTTCAACTTCCAGAGGAATATACCAGGAATTCGGATGTTCCAGATACAGTATAACGGAAGCCAGGATGACTCACTGGTTTACAGGTAATCTTGACAGCATCACTGCATAACATTCATTACACAGAGTGAGAAATTGAATATGATGTGGCCTACTGAGAGAATGAGCCAAGCTTGAGCAGCATAGATCAAATTACATCAGAATAGATCTAACTTTAATAATCCTCTTGGAAAATGTTTTCACTCGAAATACAAGTGGAACAGCTGGAGAGAAGTGAGAATGTAAGGCATCTGGGCACTGGCATACCTACAAGGCTGATATATTGGCACTGCAAGGTGACTATAAGGGAGTTATTAGGCCACTCCAAGTGGGCTACTGGGGCACTACGAAGAAAGAATGCTGGCCGTGAAAGGGATACATGTGGGAGTTGTAAGGTCACTATGAAGTCTCTGCATGAGCTTGAAGGTAAGTGAGATTTATGCACATGGGCAAACCGAGGCCATGACCATGGAAATTCTAGGTTAAAATACCCTAAAAAACAAACAAAAAATGTGTATTTGCCAATTCTGTTTGATCATGAAAATGATTATGTATTCACTGGGATTTTTTTTTTTCAACCTACACACTTCCTTGTCTGAAATTTGCATAATTAATCCTAAAGTGGAAGACAATAAGCTTGTTTTTTATCAGAGCATATGCACAGATAATCCGTCTTTATTTACTCCCTTACAGGACAGACAAAAAGTTCATATCGGGGCAAGTTAGACTAACAAGGATATGAGACGAGGATGGAAAGCAAAGAAACATGAGAGTGTTTGACAATCTCGCAAACTAACACAAAACAGTCCAGCCTGCTGACTCAAACAGGATGGCCTTGACGGCGAGGGCTCTGCTGGCCTTTCTTGACTTTTGTTGTTTGCACAGGATTACACAGATTAGATCAGTCTCACAGGGAATGATTGTTATTTGAGCCAAATATTTACTCCAGTAAATTAGGGGGGGGAGGGAATTAGCAAACACCTCAAGCTTCCATAGGGAAATCTCTTTCCTATCGCTACTAATCCCTACACGTACATCAATATGCATAATGGTCAACGGGAACACCGGGAATGACCAATTGGGTCATCATGACCGTGACCTTGGTTTCCAGGAAAGTCTTCTTTCTTCATAATTCTTTGTCGCTAAACCCCGTTTAGAAAGTGTAACATACAGAGACGGGACAAGTAGGGTTTATAGCTGTCCGTCTTTTTAAGATAACATTACAGCTGTTCTGTTGCTCTCGCTTAGATTCACAGCACAGAGTCTGTGCATTTAGACTTTCACCTTGAGACTTCAAAATACTACATTAAGTACTACAAACAAGCAGCTTTCTGTGGGGCCACAGAGGGGGAGTTATTAGACAGCCTATCACGACCCACGCTGATCATTCCTCTCTTCGTTAGATCGCTTATTCTTTCGTCCTGTCCTTTCATATTCCCCACTTCCCCTTACTCTCCCTTTTTTCAGTAGGAAGTTTTTGGTGTGTCTGTGTTATTTTGCAGTTCCCTTGTCTTTAGGTAACGGATTGATTTCCATTCAACACCTCTGCTTGCACAAAGCAGCAGCCAATTGATTCTGCTTTTTCATTACCTGCACATCAAAGACAGAGAGGAGGGACAGAGTGGTAAAAAGAGAATAGTAAAAGAGGGAGAAAAGAGAAGGATGAATGGAACACGAAGGGAGATGGCAGGAAAAAAATTGTGAATGTAGGCAGGAAAGAGAATGATAGACACAGGTAACATGGCCCCACTGTCACTGTCAGGTGGGGCTCTTACTTTTCAGGTTCAATGCCACAATAGACATTTCTGTGCTTTACTCCCCAGTGAGTCGAATGCAGTGAGTGACGGTTTAAATCTTCACAAGTGTACCCTTTCATTTATGTTAACCATATGACCCTGCTAGTTGCTGCAAAACTGAAAAGTAAGAGTTATAATACTTGATTCTGTATCGATTTGTGCAGGGAAACCTAAACCCACTACTTCTTCCTGAGGGAGATTGGGGTCAACTGCAGAACAGAACCCCTGGAGCTCACAGGGATTTGGTGCCTTGCTCAAGGACACTTGAGAGACCGGCAGATGTTCACTGATACAGTACTGCTGTTTTAACACCAGTCCTGCTGCTTAAGGATTGTATTTCTATTGCGGAGTCCGGTCTAGTCCACTGGCATTCTAGTTTTTATTAACATGAGTAATTTCTTTGTCTTTAATGTTAGAGAGACAGCCCAGCAAACTGCATGGCTTTAAGAGAGAAAAAATAAAGATGAATAGTAGAGCAGGGCGATATGGCCAAAAATATTTATCACGATATATATTTGAAAATTTGCGATAACGATATAACCGACGATATAATTGATGCGAGACAAAATACAACTCCACAACATTACTAGCGCAAAAAGACAACCTTCCATTTATTTTCACTTAAACAAGAAGCTGGTTTTTATGTACATTAAAGCTTTATAAAAATGTAACAGTGCAAATGCAAATTCCTTGCTGAAAGTTTAACCAAAAGGCATTTCCAGTAGAAATGGGCTGACATATCCTGAGCATAACCATATATAATATCCACTGAAGTTAAAAAGAGTTGCTTTGCAACATTAAACTGCAGTGTGCAGTACGCATTTTTCGGACCATAAGGTGCACGGGATTATAAAGCACATTAAGCGAAACAAAGCAGTCAGATAAATCAAACTTGATTAAACTCATTCTTCTTGCTTCCTCCACTTCTGTACCATTGATTCATTAATGTTGAATTCTCTGGCAGCTGCTCTATTCCCATGTTGTTGCAGTATATTAATGACTAACCTCGTATTTTGGATGGATTATCTCAGTTGTTCTCCTGACTGAAGTTTGGTCCGTTTACAGCATCCTGCCATGCGATTGCATTTGTCTCTAACCATGAAGAACCTTCACGTTAACTTTTATAAGTGGAAAAGTGTTAGTGTTAGTCCTCCAGCTTCACTGTTTATGTTATGCTAACATAGCTGTGTCGCTAGCGATCAGGTAGCACATCATTATATACCAGCTAGCCCAACTTCAGTAACCCTACAAACGTCACTGCTGTTTAGTTTCCTGTCTTCATTTATGTTGGAAGTGATAGCAGAGCTGTACGTTTGATTTTTTTCAGAAATCTCTCCGTCAGAACATGCTATATCATGCTTAGGTAACTAGCGAAACTAGCGAGCTAACTTCCGCTAGCTTCCTGCTAACTTTTAACTCCGTTAAATGTAATAACTTTTGTTTTCATGGATGCCTGGAAGTTAAACTTTATAGTTACACCTGGTAAAGCAGCAATGCTGATCGTTTTATTAAAGATGAAAGAATTTAGACAATTTTTAACTCTAAGTGATGCTGCAGTGTTGTTTGACCTGAAGCATACGGAGTTTATAGGACCCAGATTACTCCCAGATTTAAGAGCATCTTAGTCCGACAAATATGACAATAACAACGGCTGCTTGCATGTTCTGCAAAAAAATGTGCTTTGTTGTGTATCTGACGGACAAACACCAAACCAGTTCCACATCACTGAAGTTGCACCATTTTTACAAACCAATTCTGGTTCATCTGTTTCACTCAACAATCGGCCATGTGCGTATGAAAACAAAGGCACTGCGCATGCGCGTTTTACTCCCATTCTATCGCGATATTTCATTTTCGTTGCCTAACATTATACCGGTATTACCGTGAACGGTATAATATGGCCCAGCCCTAATGAATAGCCACACGTTTGTCTGATTATAGACAGTATGTCTCTTTTTTTTCATATGGGGACGTAGATTAGAATCTGGAACATGCATCTCTCAAACTGTCGTCTTCCAGCTTGGCCTGACAGTGCTTAAATGATGGAATTCTGAGACTTGACTACCACTAGACAGTATATTCAGGGTACTTGCTATGAATGTCATGGAGTATGATGTTTTCAGAAAGCATGCTCTGGAAAGAAAATAAATGAAAGTCAGTAGAAGTAAACAGAATACATGTGTGTGAATGAGACAGGTGGAAAGATGCTGGAAAGAGTAGAGGTAGTCAAGGTAGCTGAGTTTAAATACCTAGAGACAACCATCCAAAGCAACGGACGGTGCACAAGAGAGATAGCATGGAGTGGGTGAAGATGAGTGGTGACAGAAAGACAGGAGCAAGAGTGAAAGGAACAGTTTATAATGTATCATTTGGAGACAAAGTTACAGAGGTAAAGCTGAGAATCGTTTAGACATATGTGGAGGAGGGATGGTAAATATATAGGACCAAGGATGGTGAACATGCAGCTTACAGGCAGGAGGAAAAGAGAAGAGGGTTGGTGTGAAGAATGTTGATTCTGGGAATAGGGTGAGATGGAGGGAGGTAATCCACTGTGGTGACCTCTAAAGGGAATAATGAAGAAAAGGAAGTGCACCATGATTAGTTTTATTTAGGGTGGGTAGCATTATGGTGAGTGGTTAGCAGTGTTTCTAAAGTTGTGTCCTGCTGGGGATTTGTGTGTAGGCCCCTTCTGTGCTTGTGTTCAAACACATGCATGTTAGCTTATTTGTTTAAGGATATTTTCTATAAAACATATTCACCTACATTATTGTCTAAATGTTGTCCTCAAGGTATCTCTTCACAGGAAGGTACATCGCTTTGTTGGAGATGAGTAAGAAAATAATCTGGATTTATTCCATAGCCATTTTAGTTACATTGAATATTGGGAATCCCAAAAATGGCAGTTGGACTGCAACAAAATATAATTTGACATTATATGTCAATCTAAAAAACATTTGATTAATGACCTATTGTCCTGATTAATGGACAAAGAACTGCAAAGAATTAACTGCAAAGAAAAAATACATATCAGTTTCCTTTAACTCAAAGAAATCTTGCAAATCTTTGCATATTAAAATATTAAACAAGATAACATTTTGGTTTGTCTTTAAAATATGACTAAATTATCGGTCGAAGATCTGACAATTCTTGTTCTACAGAACATTTGAAGTCTCGAGTTGTGATTATTAATCACTTCTCAGTCCATTTGGACCAAGTTAAGGTGTGTCATGTTAATTAGGTATTTACAGTGT